CTTGATTCCTCTACTGAAGGACAACAAAGTAAGAATCGCGATCGATGGTTCAACAGCAGGTCCCCTCGGCTCTGCTCTAATTCATCAGGCTCTGTTGTGCTGTATGCGTGTTAAGATCTGCAGGTATCACAGGTGAGCTGAGAGAGGAAAGCCAGGCTGTGGTACGAATCCACAGTACTACGGCTGCAATCAGGCACGGCGGCTTCTTCCTAATGAAGTCACACCCACCTCAAAGCATGGTGAACCCAGTGCCACAAGCTGAAGCACCGGACTTCATTTCCCATAATGCCGTCCATAGATCTCAGTACTTCCATTACAGTTATTAACATGGCAGACACTTATAAGGCTCAGCCAGGGTCCCTGGAGCAATTGGGGTTTGGCTCAAGGGCCCAGCAGTGACACAAATAATCTACTCCAGCCATGGGACTTGAACTCACAACTTTCTGCACATGAGCACAGAGCTGAAACAGACTAGTTAGCCCCTCCAAGCTGAATAAGATGAATTACAGGCTAGCAGTGGCTTGGCTGAGTTATGCCTTTTTCAAAGGATACTGGGCAGGGGGTGGAGGGAGGGTGTTTTGGGTGAAACAATCTGTCACCACTGGTGACTCAGTCCCCCTACTCTCCTCCCCCAATCCAGTCCACATTCCCCCCCCCCCAGAAAGAAATACTAAAGGGAACAATAAGAGCAGAATCAGGTGCACACTGGTGGAATGGAACTAGCACTGCAAAATTCTTGGAATTTTCCTGTAAATTCCCATATATTCCTGTCAATTCCCATGGAAAGTTTGCAACTTGGAATATTTCCAAAATTCCCCCAGCTTAACCTCCCATGGAATGGAAAGTTTCCGGAAATTTTCCGCCCCTTAGCAACTCTGAACGTAACAAAAACACAGACCGTCCCAGAGGTCATTGGGACGATAAAATAAGGGTCCTTAATGAAAACCGCCTCTGCAGACCATCTGATACTGAGATTACAGCAGGATAAGGGAGAGGTTTTGGTGGCAAGGAGTAGCGGACTGGCTCAAGCAGGTAGGATGCAGATCCTGGTGGCTCATCCTTCTCTGGCAGACCGACAGGGCCCTTCTGCTTCAACGGACAGACCATGAGGTGCCCCGTTCAAGCTTTCAGTTTCGGTCGACGCAATTGTGAATCAGGGCTCCAGGACCCCACCTTCTGATGACATCATGGTACGATCCTTCTGTGTCAGGCTGATCTTTTTATAGCAATTTGGGCTGTTGGACACACAGCAGGAGGGGTGTGTCCTTGCCTACTGAGCCACATCCCTTGTTAACCCAGGGGGCACTCTACCAACACAAATCTTTGTTTCGGTGTGTCACGCACAGGAAATCAACTCCTACGCACTGATATGCCAGTAGAGGCTAATGCAGACCTGCCTTTCAGGCTTTGGGAACGATATCCACGGATCATCCTCACTGAAGAAATGTGCAGACATGCCGTTTGCCCGGCGCCTCCCGACCCGACGACGATCGGAATGCGTCTGTTGTGCCGATACACTGTTTTAATTCCAAGCAAATGGAAAATCGACATTCCCAGGCATCGGTGAGCCACATTCCACAGCACGGTGCAGTTAACTGAACGGATCTGAAGCGATTAGCTGGCTCTAAATTCCTGCCAGGTTGCACCGGAGTAGCCGCCTGCACATATCTAATCAGAGATCGAGCTCCTCAGCCCATGGGAATGTTGTAAAAATGGGGGTAACAGCACAAAGGCATGAGCATTAGCAAGAAGAGTCGCACGGTGAACTCAGGAAGCCTCTGAACCTCCGAACTTTGCATGCAAACACACACTCTGTGGATAGCAGCAGCGCTAGGGTGACAGGAACACTGTGGTGCAGTTGTGCAATTAGGCTGGCACTGAGGGAGTGAGAACAGAGACAGGGGGGCGGGCGAAAGCTAGATAACACCATACATAAGCAGCATGCACTCCAGAAGCTCTCTCCTTCCCAACAGGTGTAACTGCCCCACCCAAAAATCTCTGATGAAAAGGAGTCAGCAGTTTCACACGAGTATCTGAAGCGCATATGGACATTTCAAGAGGTTTTTATACCACAAGTGGGAGCAAATACCTGTAAAAACTTGCATGAAATGGGCCGATATAGCGAAGTACACAGGAGGAAATACATCCGTGATTAATACGGCGCACGCGAGCTACAGCTGACTCGTGCAGAAGCCCACCATGCAGGGTATCTGAGGAGACTTACATCCCTACTCAAAAACTGGATAGTCGTACACTGCCCCAGCGTTACACGCAAAACCTCAGAATTACTCAGGCAGAGCAGAGCTCAGACCTCTGAACACAAAGTGAGCTGCAGGGAGGGGTGAGCAAGCCTAGGGTGCCTCGAGACCAAGCCAGGACTTCTGTGGAGACCTGAACACAGCATCAAACTTCTGAAACTACACCAAGCATCATTAAAAGTTCACTCGAAAGCAGGCACTACAGTGGTTCTTTTTTTTTGTTTAAAGATCTTGAGGGACTTTGTGAAAGCATACCTTCATTTTTACATTTTACGCAGCCCCACACACGTCTTCAAGGCAGCCTGGACCACATCAAGAGTCCAAATGCGAGACTTCTGTTGAGCAGAGGCAGTAAGGAGACCACAGAGAGCAACATATAAACTTTACAGCACTGCACACAGCTTCAGACACTAAGGCTTCAAGCACGGATATTAATCATCTTGGTGCTATTTGATGTGTTGTACTGACTTGAGGCTTTTTCCAGCCCTACTCTGGCCAGTGGCACCGTGTGCGGGGGGGACATTACACAGAGACCTTCCCTGTCTTTAGGAGTTCCTCATTTGTCTTGATCAAGCACCCACTGCGGTTTAACTACCTTCTCACACAGAACATGACGCAGATCACCAAACCCATGTTGACATACCCAGCCAGGGTCAGCCAACTGGACTTCTACTGTTCTGCCAGCAAAAGGGTTCAGTCCGGATGGTTATGCAAGGCCAATCGGTTCACCATGCACATCGAAACCATTACACAACTTTACCTAGAGTTCCAGTGCAGATCAGCACAATCTGTTGCCTGCACATTTGTGCCCGAGAGTAGTAGTAAGTACACTATGTTCCTTAGACTGTCAAATAAATTTACTAGGGTCATTCTATCATTTTTATTTTTCACATGACACTGAAAGGCTCACAAATGCAGAATTAGATAAATGTGCGAAAAGTTTTTAATAGATTAAGCTCAAACAGCTCCTTAGTAAAAGCGGGGCGGGGGGTGATTTCAGCATGCGGGAATACTGAAGCTCAGAAACTAAAGGCTGATGTGCACTGTAATGCAAACACCTGAAGAGTGGAGAAACAAGAGGGGTAATTTCACCGCTGAATACAGATGCAGATGTGCTCCAGTCAAGCACGACACAGCACGTTAATGTTTCTGACAACGTTTAGCGCCGTTGTTGAAGTAGTGAGGCTCGCGAATCACACCTTAGGAGAACAAGGCTTGGATTAAGAGGCGTGACTCATTAAAAGTCAAATGCTAGCTGCTTCTTTGTTTGGAAATTGAATGTGCGCAACAAGAAAAAAAGACAGATACCTCAACCCCCCCCCCCCCCCCATTTCTGTACAGATCAGCAGAAAGTTTTGGATTCTGTTGATTTGCATCAAGTCCTGAACACAAAATGAAGTGTAAGTCGTGTTTCCAGTGAAATGCTGGTCTGTCGTTTTTTTGCATAATGAAGCAGAATTTAAAAGGCACCCAAATCCACATTTTAAGTACATCGGTTACAGAATTAGTACTTTTAAAGCATTATTATTTTTGCGGATAAGAACTCTGAAGCTGCCCTGCACGTTGCCGTGTCCTATAAAACGGCCATTTCACCTTGGAGTTTACCTGAACAGTCTGGCTATAGTGACTCACGCCTATTGGAGGGCATAGAGCTCTAAACGTAGCTGGTTTCCACTTTCCATCTTTTGCACGCAAACAGTTAGTAAACAGAGATCACCTTGCCACGAGATGATGTCTTCACCTTGGAGGCTGACGTCAGTTGATCACATGACTTCTCGCGCACGAACTGAAGCGTGTTATTTTTGGCCGCAATCCCATTTGCGCAGGTTTGGTACTACAGTCAGTCTATATGCAGCTCCATAAATGCACACATAAAAGACGTGCGTTGGTGTTTCACTTTTGTCTGATAGCCTTGTTTTACACAACACCTTTAGTTGGTGACTTTGGCCCCCATGCCCCCAGGTTTCGTCTAATCAACGGAGCAATGCAATAACGCCTTCCGCATACACTCATAACTGCTCACCAACGGATCACTTTCTCAAGGTCACTGGGCAGTTTACTTCACCTGTTTCTCCTGTATGCAGAGCACACACTGTTTCTCTGTCACTGACCAGGTGAAGGGAGTTTATAGATGCAAGTGTGGACTGTTGTTCTCTTGCATTTTAAGGGTGTGTTTAAGATGTTTGTATCGTGGGCATTACAATTCGGCTCTAAATATCAATATCATATCAAATGAGGTCACATTTGTCCACCAGGTGTCGCGATTTACCATTATTTGTGTTAATTTCTCACTTCTACCTAACGCTAATGGACACTGATTTGTGGAACAAAGTGTATTAAATGGGTATCTCAGATATACTTAATAAAACGGAAATGTAATTCCAAAATAAAAAAAATTACACAAATTTTGATACAAATAATTTAATGTATCAAATATCTAAATGTATAGTTTTTCTTTTGGATTATTATTATTATTATTATTTATAGCCTAGGTGTTTTCTTCTTTAAGTGTTCCTGTCGAGTGGCTTGCTGGTGTCATGCACATGTAATACTTGTGTAACCCGTGCGTTGCTAGGGATTATGACATACATTGCCAACGAGTACCAGGCCACGCCTGCTCAGCCGGTTGTCTCCAGTCACATCAATACTTTCCGGTTAAACTACCCAATCCCCATCGGCCAAATCCCATCTCCCGCCCCATATATTAGAATACGACCAACGGGACTTCACATGCAAATTAAGTGAGAATAGAGACGCTGTAGTTGTGAACCTTATCTTTGACTACCGCTTTCAGCGCCCTCAGATACGCGGACTGACGTACAGAGGAGGTGGTATTGTTGAACCGTGGATAACGCATCCTGAGGACTGCTGATCCTTTGCGGAGTTTGTTCCATTTGGCAGCCTGGGAATATCGACCCTTTAACTGGATTTTATGTGCAATATGACTTTTGAAGAGTTTAGTGGAGATCACTCTGCAGAAAGGTAAGTTGTACAGTTAAAAAGACCTTCCAGCGCTGTAGGAAATAGATGCATTGGCAGACTTTTAGCACTCCGTGCAGTAAATAAAGTGTAATTAACGCGGCCCTTAACATGCTGCTTTGTAACGTAAAATGTCGATTTTACCTTGCACTTCTCCCGGACGTCTGGGCATATTGGCAATTTATGACTATTGAAGGAAAGGAAACTTGAACGGAGGCTGCTTTCTGCTCTCTGTCTTTTGCGCCCGGTAACATGTCGCCGGCACTGCACGCGCACTGGCTCGCGAGGCTGCTGCTGCGGCCACACTCACGCGCTCAGCTGGTTAAGAGGGACCGCCGTGTTGTGGGTAAAGTTTACCTTAAACTAGCGATCGCTAACTCACTGACCTCACGAGACGGTTTAGGTGCGGATCAGGAAAAGTGTTACTGGAAGAGGCGGGGGAGGGGGGCGGTGGGGGAGCTGGTCGGCGCGTTACTGACCGGGGTCCGAACCCCGGCAAAAAGACGTTAAACTCATCGGCGCGTCACAACGTGTGTCGTTATTTTTTGTCCTGTGCTTCAGGATGGACTCTGTGGCCAGTGCTCTGGAGGAGGTGCTCAGCTCTGCGGCGCCGCAGGGATGCGTTACGGTGGGGGTGTACGAAGCAGCGAAGTGGCTCAACGTGTAAGTGGATGGCACCGGATCGCCGGCCCTCCGGCCGGGGCGCCGCGTCTCTTCACCTCCGGCCTTAAGGCGACGCAGCGGTGTCCGGCCCTAACGCGCATGCCGCCCCTTCTGCAGGAACCCGGACAACGTGGTGCTGTGCGTCCTGGCCACGGACGAGGACGACGTGGAGAGCGTGGCTCTGCAGATCCACTTCACGCTCATCCAGGCATTCTGCTGCGAGAACGACATCAACATCCTGCGGGTGAACAACATGCGGCGCCTGGCGGACATCCTGGGAGACTTCGGCCCCGGGGGCGAGCCGGCCGACCTGCACTGCGTCTTAGTCACCGTACGTGCCTTTCTCCTCGCTTTTCCCAAAGACTCCCCCTCCTCGCACCTGTTGTGAACTTGCCGGTACATGCCCCCCTCCTTCATCAGTCGCTCCCCGGCGTGCGAAGCCGTCAGATATCCTGCATCCGGCTTTTTGTTTCTCGGAAATTGGCTCCGGCCGGCAGAGAGGGGGCTCCAGGCTGCGCGCGGCAGTTTTGTGCACATTTGCGCATTTATTTAGGAACAGCGTTATTGCAGTAATGCGCTCTGGGGGTTAATGAGAATCTGGTTTGGATGGCATTTGGGAAAGGCCGAGCTGGACGGATTACCTATGCGGAGCACGGCCCTTTGAAGATCACAGCCTGCGCGTTTCGCTTGAAGCCCTTTCAAGTGGCTGCAGACTCGGCGCTACTGATGTGGATTGTGGGCAGGAGCGGCAGCGATCCGGAGTTGTGCTAATTGGCCGCCAGGCGGGTGCCGCATTCCCGCTTTAGGGGTGGGCTTTCAGGCTGGCTGTGCACGTCCTGTGAGACACTCCTGCAAACAGCCGTTACAGGAAGTAGGATGAGTAGTTTTATACATGTGAATTCCCAAAAGTAATGCCCCCCTTCCTGCCCCAGCCTCCTAGCTGAAACACTAACCTCAAGCAGGGGTGTTGCTAGAGATTTTGGGCCCCATGAAAGCATATCATATTAGGCCCCCCAGTCCAAACCAATCCAGTTATTTTCCTAATTTTTTAGGGCCCCTGTCACTCAGGGGCCCTTGGAATCATCCTAGCTTTCCTCCCCCTTACGGCGCCCCTGACCTCAAGTGTTGCTCAATCCAGATGTAGTTTACTTGCAGGATTTTTCTCAGAATCTGCATGTACTGTGCCTATTGTACCTAGTGTTCTCTTAAGGCATTTTCGGTATGCTAACCCTTTCCCCTGTCTCTTTCCAGAATCCTCACCCTGCTACTTGGAAAGATCCGGCTCTAAGCAAGGTAAACCGGTTCTGCAGGGAGAGCCGCGGTTTGGATCAGTGGGTGCCCATCATCAATCTCCCTGAGCGATGATGGAGGATCTAGACCAAGGACTCCAACACTGGAAGAGATGCACTGGATTTGTGTGACGCAACAGCAGCCCGCTCAGGAGAGGATTCCCACAAACTGATGATGAAATTCACAAAAATAAAAAAGGGGAAACATTGACGGACAGAGAGAGAGCAGTCTCGGTGAGAGAGGGGTGGATTTCGGCCCGACTGGAGGAGTCACATTCCTAGCCTGGCACAGGGAGCGGAGATTCAGGAAGGAGTCCATGTGGCCTCAGGAAGAGGCGCCGCACAGGAAGTGGGGGCGGGGCGGGGGGGTGCAGGCAGGGCCTGGGAGCAGACCAGAGCCTGCGGATCAGGACTGAGCCCCTGGCTGGATTACAGGGGAACCAGACAACATACGGAGATGTTCAGATGTGCCATTACAGCAGTTTTTATCATTGAATGAATGCTGTTTTGTTGTTGTTGTTGTTGCTGTTGTTGTTGTTGTTGTTATTATTATTATTATTATTATTATTTAAAAGGGAAGATCTATAATGTCAGTGTGCAGGACAAGTTATGGTCTTTCATATTTTACAGGAACTGTTTCACAAGTTTTTTTTTTTTTTTTTTTAAGTTATTTTGCTTATATTGAAATGTATTTATGTTGTAGTTACTATGAAGCCCCCTGTAAAGCAGTGACACTGATGCATTTTGTCCAATAAAATGTTTTGCACAAAACCTGCAGCCTGCTCAGTGATTAAAGGCTCAGAAGATGGGCAGGGAGGGCATTACCTGGTTTAGCTGCATGGGGCCAAAGTCTGTTACACTGGGGCCCCGGGGATGTCACTTTATCGCACTGTTAATGGGCCGTCAGAATGCTCTTTAAGTAAGAGGTGTTACATGGAGGTGATGTGGAATGGAGGTGATGTGGAATGAATACCATCCGTTAAGCCTCTGCTAGCTTTCCTGGCAGGTCTCAAAAAATACTTATATACTTGTGGCCGTAGGTGGAAATCAGCAGGAGAACATTTTAAACTGTATTTGAGGAAGCACTTCTTTACACAGTGGGTAGTTAAGAGTATGGAATAGTCTTCCTGTTAGTGTAGTGCAAGCTAATGCCTTGGGTTCCTTTAAATCAGAGCTAGATAAGATTTTAACAACTCCGAGCTATTAAGTTCTCCCCAAACAAGCTCGATGGGCCGAATGGCCTCCTCTCATTTGTAAATTTATTTTCTTATGTGCTGCCATAAAGTAAATGGGGGGTGTGTGTGAGTGAAGCAGGAGGCTCCTATTCCTCAGGGCCCTGTGGGTATTTGCGTTCTGACTGCAGGCCCACACAGTCTCAGGCCTCCGCCTTCCAGGAGACACCCTAGCCAAATGGGTGCTTCCTGGCAGCGAGACGGCCTGCACACGCACACAAGCACTGAAGGCCGGCACCTATTTCACGGCTCCAATGCAAGAGTGTGAGGGTTTGGGCTATAGGTCAGTGCAAATGGAGGTTCAGATAAAAAGTCAGGCATTTGGCAGAGCTGATTTGAGAAGCTGTGTCACACACACAGCCCCTCAGGATGCCCCTCCCCCCTTGACAGATCCACTCATCCGTGTAGATGTGCCCAGATGTGCTACGGGGCAGAAGGTCCAGTCACATACCCCCCCCCCCTTCAGTCCAGGGTGGGAGGCTTGGTGCTGTTTGACCACCCAACAAGCAGTTTCACCCAACAAGACAGCAGGACATGAAAAGTGAGGGAGGAAACGAAAGAGAAAGAATATGTCCCATCCGAAACCTGACGGGGTCACCTTGCCACCAGTTGCATTTCGGAAGCTGGAACTCGAGCAGCCAGCTTGGAGCCACCACACCAGCTGGGGCTGGCAAGGAGCCAGGAGAGAGCGCTCATAAATCAGCCCCTCACCACCTCCATCAGCACATTTAGGCAATTTCATGTAAGTATTTGCAATGCATTCCTGGATATCAAGTATGACAAACTGCCTTCATGAACAGGAAGCCACTGAATTTCCACATAATGCTCGATTTGTCAAGTTCAGATGTAGATCATTCTCTGTTTCTCCCCAGATTGCACATGCTCCTCTCATTTCCAAGCAATTTGCATCTGTCTGACCCCTAGCACTGGCCATATCTGGGTGTGTCGTAACCTTCTATATCTCCAAACGCTCTGTCCTCTTCCAGCTTAGAGAGCAGAGGCTGCAGACCTTGGGCTGGGCCGCCACCCAGCGCCTGACCGTTTCCCAAAATAGCTCCCCTCCATCAGAGTGGAAGCCAGAATTCCTGCCGCAGCTATTTTTAGAAAGCAGCCCCCACCCACCCACCCATCGGGGAGCTGCTGACTGTTGCCGAGCCATAAATAAACCCCTAGCGTGAGCCCACAGAGTCCGGGGCGGTGGGGCTGATTCAAAAACGACTCCGGCTGACACACATCCCCCCTCCCACATCGGACCCTTTGTGAGGTGGGCTGGCGGTCCTGATGAAAGGTGGCAGCACATAAAACACTGGCTGAGTCAAGGCTGTGCGGCCCAGCAGAGAACGATCCGGAAGCCAGCCTCAAAAGGTCGGGCCCCACTCACAGATCGTGATTTATGCCGCTCGTTAGTGACCCGTGGTCTATGCTGGGGGGCCATCAATAGTTCCTCCGGTGTCAGCGCATACCCGAGCGGTGATGCCTCGCGTCGCGTGGGTGGGTGTGACGCAGCCGGGCTGGGCGAATAGCCCGCGGCTCCACCCGGAACTCAATCACGCAAACAGGCCCTCAGAGACGGCGGCGGATGTGAAGGAGCACACATGTGAGGATGAGTAATGCCCAGTAAGCAGATTCAAACAGGCCACTCTGAAAAACAGCAGTGTGACGCTTCAAAAGCTCCTTGCAAGTGATGTTTGTTGAGCTGGAAAGAAAAAAAAACTGCAACTGCTACCATCCGGTCCAAAAAATTTGGGTGGCGGTACGATCAAGGATGAAGTTCAGAAGCACCAGACCCAACCCAATCCGGGCTGGGTGGCGGTCGCTCACAAGGGCAGAGTTGAGGAATTCCACAAAGCGGACTTTGGACGGAAAGTGCTTATCTACCCCCCCCCACCCTCCCACACACACACACACACACACACACACACACACACACACACACACACATACACACCCACCCACCCACACACACACACACGCACACACACACACACACACACACACACACCCACACATACGCACGCACGCACACACACACGCACTTTCATGTGCCTCGACCCATCGGCCAACTACAGGTAAGGTTCCTCCGATGAAAAAACGGCTGCTTGTTCATCCGGCACCCATACAAGTCACACAGTATCGAACCCCAGCTCAGCAGAGGAATTACCCGCAGGTCGTTTCCCTAACTGCCTGCCTGTAAATCAGGTGGCCTGTAAGAACGCCAGGCACGCAGGCCACTGAAGATAAACACACCTGCTATTTCGCCAACTAATGTCATTCAGATAGTGTTTACTGGTGAGACATTAAATGTGTCCCTTTGCAGAACACTATGTACAGGCAGGAAAGTCAACTGCCAGCAAAATAACTGGAAAACCTTTGGCGGGGGGGGTGGTTCTGTAAATGTGTCAGGGCAAGCCATCAACACTAACAGGAAGAGCCAGCCGGCGCGGCACAAAAGGCGTCCTGTTCTCCCCGAGACAGCGTAGGCGACATGCTGGCTGACTCCGCAGGTCAGGAGTCCTACGGGGCACGAGCTCGTCCACCGCTCCTGCAGCGCCACGAAAGTGTGCAGGGGTCAGACACACGATGGCCAGCAGACACGCACCACCCTAGGGACCCCTTGAACCTCGGCCTCTGGGCTGGTGGTGTAACACGGAGAGCTTCCCAGCCACATCAACCGGACACGGGATTACGGGCTTGGCAGAGCCGCGCTCCCTGGGCTTCCTTAAAGGAGTTAGGCATGCGTGACGTCATTCGCTGCTCCCTTTCCCCATGAAACAATTTTCTTATCTCAATGACACCATATATGACCATATATATACTTCCCCGCATCATAACCTTGAAGAGATATCACACCAGAAACAGTTGGCAGGACCATTAATGTGTAAGCTGGCAGGTCACAAGGTGTAAAGGGTGGCTTTGGGCGGTGAAAACGGTAAAAGGTGAAGTTGTTTCGTTTGGCCCAGCGATGGGGGGGAAGTGGAAGGTGAAGCAGGCTCCGGGGCAGGGATGGGAGGGGCTGCAGAGAATTGCCCGGAGCTCTCTGGGTCGACATGGCAGCAGCTTTTCACAAGCCAGGTGAACAAAGGGCACCACCCACCCCAGCACTGCCAGCAGAACGTCACTCACTGCTCGTGTTACACAGCCCCCCACAACGTGCCAGATAGTGCTAATCGACGCAGCTAATATTACATCACTTCCTGTTTGCAGTCCGTGCTGCACTCCAGCTCACAGATAACTGAGCCTGAAACACACACACACACACACATACACATGTACACACAAACACACACAACATAAACAATTGCAACAGATTTATGTTTAATAAAGTAAGAGCAAATTCCACTTGTACAGTACCAGAAAAATGTTTCTAGACTTTATAATTAAGAAAAACCTAATATCTAAAAAAGGTTTAAATCCACCACTTACAAGAGTAGACTTGGCAAAAAATGCAATTTTTTTTTTCTTTCATTTGATAAACAAATACAGATTCACCCCTCCCCCACCCCCAGAGCACAGTGGAGTTTCGTGAAACTGCTGCCTAATTCCAGGAATGACTACAGCAACGTGGAGCATCATAAAGATGGCGCTTTAAAAACATGCGGCGCACGTGGCTTTGATGCTGCTGGGTCTACGTCGCTGTGATCGAGGGCCACTCCGCACGGGCCGGGTTCAAGGAGGACGACGCACGGCGATAGTAAGGCCATCGGAAAGGTGGTCAGATCACATGAAATTGGCGGCAGGGCTTGTCATCAGTGGTCAGAAGCTGAATACGACTGTAAACATCAAAACGTTAATACGCCCCGTCTCATGGGGGAATTCTGAGCCGTGGAGAGGAGACAAAACACCTCCTAAACACCAAGCCAGGACCCCCTGGGCATCAAGGATGCTGGGGACCAGAGCGGCTTAGAGCGCTGGGCGTTAAATACAATCAGACATTCGGGTTGTTTCGGTATATCCAGAACGAACTGTACACGAGATGGCACACATAGAAGACATCAGTTATTAACAAACTGATAGCAAAGTTATCCTTCATAACTCTGTAAGGCATCTGCATTTAAAGGGTTAAGGTCAACCTGCCTTTCGGAAAACCACACACAACGCTGGTTAGATCAGCTAAGCTAGACGTGGAACAAGTTCTAAAAGCAGGTATCAGGAGCACAGAATGTATGTTACGTTTCCATACAGCAATTCAAAACGTTCCCAACGCAGGTCAGCATCGTTAAACAGGCAGCCTACAGGCTCTCCTGGAAAGAAATGACATATTAATACAGTGAACAGTTTCCATCAGGAGGACTGAATACAGCGATAAGTAGTGTCCTGATCACATTTTAAAAAGAAAGTACATTGGAAATAACAAATAAAGGTTTAGTGGTTGAGAAGGAAAATCTGAAAAAAGCAGCCAAATAACTTAGAAGGAGGACACCTTCTGGGTCAGCTGTTACACTCCTTCCACACATGAGGTTCATGTTCGTTAACTTTCGGGGAGGAGGGGGGGGGGTTCTCCTGCGAGATCAACTGCTATCTGTTGAAATTTGATTTCATTAATGGCCCCAGGCTTAATTTTTACTGTTTTGTCTGCAAACCCTTAGGCTTTGTTGGATTATTTAAAAGAAAGAAACGGACATCTGGACAGCCAGACATCTCCATTCAGACTGTGTCTAGCCTGACTCTGAAGGTCACAGCTTAGGAAGGGGTCAGGATTTCCAGCGTACGCACGATTAAACGCCCCACTTTACACAAACATAACATCTTGAGGCGTTTACTGGTGTGAAGCGACCTTTTGACCCGACAGATCACCCCCGTAACTTATGGTCACACAGGCCTTCCTTACCAAAGCAGGCCTCTCGTGGGGGTGTGCTCATTACAGCGTACTGCTACCACTTACCAACTGTTCATTTCTTTACCTGGAAACCCTCCCCTAAGAGTAGGAGCTGCGGTAATTGCCTACATAAACGTTTATGTCACTAGACATCAAAGGCCTCGGTTTTTCAAACGTTCCTCCCAAACCAGCACTCATTACTCATCCCTTCCGTGATAATTGCTTCCAGAATAATCTGTGGATCTTCCCTCATTCCGACAAGTGTGAATGCAGGGGATAAAGGGGGGGGTGGCACTCTAGCTGCAATTTAACCGGGATATTTATTTGTTAAGTATGGGGAAGATTAGAGTATTCTTTTAATCAGATTGCTGATGATAAAATAAAAAAATGACATAAAATGCAGGAGAGGCGTCTCATTACAGTATAGTGCAGGGTTTTTTGTCCTTAAAGGGGTTTTCTGAAGCAGGTATTCCCATGAGCAGCGGGTCGTACTTGGCGTGCTCCCCACAGTAGCGCATCAGGTCCGCGGAGGCTTTGGACACCTGGGGGGGAATCACAGGCTATTAGCCGGGGGAGAACTACGCTTCCCAGAAGACCTTTCTGGGCTGCTGTTCATCAGTACCAGGATGTTCTCAGTGTTCTCGGAAGACGGCCTTTGATCGCCTCCCAGAACGTATGCAGCCTGGCGAGGTGGGTGACGGGACCCTCACCTTGATCCGTTCGATGTTGGCCTCTATCCTCAGCTGCTGAACGGCCCTCCGTGCGTGGGCAATGTTGTTGGAGCTGGGCCCTTTGGACGACATGCTGGCTGAGCACACGACCTGCCCAGAAGGAGACACAGCTGGGGTCAGCGATAGCCAGCTGGAAATGCTGGGAAAGGTGGGGAGAGAACTGAGCTGGCACGTACCCTCCTTCAGCACTGTGAAGTCACCTGAAGTCTCTGGTATGTTGGATCGGAGTCACCCCTGCAAAACAAGACAGGGCGGCTTTGAAGACACATGACCAAAACCCCCAGGCAGCCATTGAAATAAACATTTTTTCGGGATGTGAACTAGCAACGTACAGATCACAGCCACAGGGTTCTAACCTGCCGGACTACACACCACCCAAACATTCCCTGCGTGCCACAGCACCAGGATACACAGCAGCACCAGGATGGAGTCGTCAAGCTCTTAGAATTAAGTACAGAACATGCCGGACTTGCGAACCTGTCATTCATCCTGTTGCTCTGAAAAGGCAGGACCTGCCTGGAGGGGGCGCTCTCTGCCTCGCCTTACTGCTCCAGCCAATGGTAACGAGCCGGTGGCCGCATGCTTTGTGCTGAGTCATGCCATGTACACAGCAAAGGTGACGCGGTGACAGGCCCAGCCGGGCAGCGGGCTGACTCATCCGGCCAGACATGTGCACTGGGTTCACGGCCGAGTGGGCCCAAGGCCAGCACACTCTGCCAGCCTCACAGCACTGCCCCCTAATGGACAGGGGCGGCTAGTGATAGAACATGATAATGACAAATCATCACAATGCAAAGGGAATGGTTTCGGCTTCCCAGAATCACCATAGCAACTCCACACCAATGCCGGTGGTGCCGCCTTGCAAACGGCATTCTGACGTTTTAAAGTTCACCACCCGCGTCACCGAGCCGTGGACCCGGCAGAGTAAATCTGCTGTGAGCTGTGAATGGTTAGCGCTGTTACCCTGGAGACAGCAAATGACACACGTGATTGCCTTGGGGGGGGGGGGTGGTTTATTCCAGCAAAGCGTCTGCTACTAATGCCACCTTGGCAGTTGGGAGATAACACTGT